CCATTTCCCAAAATCTCAGTTTACAGTACGTTTTCACAAACAAGTAATTTGGTCAAGGACTCTACCATCGCTGGTCCAAGTCTGCGCCCAGTATCTGCCAAATAATTCGCATTCACCTTTTTCGTCCATCTTCACTGCACTTCTGAGAGGATGGATGGGAGTCAGAGACTTCGTACAAACCAGTCTCGCCACCCAGTGCTTTGACACGGTTTCCCATTGTGCCCTCCCTCGCTGGGAGGCCTCCTCAGGACCCCAGGACGAGTCCGTGTCATTCCCCTGGTGGCTGGGAGGGTAACCTGTACGTGGAATACTTTCCGAGCAGGAGAGGCAACTGAAGCCTACCTGCCGCCTCTGCACTCTGCCTCCTGGCCCCCCGTTTCTCTTGCCTCCTTGGTAGTTCTAACCTGCCTTTGTTCTTCCTGAAATTAAGGCGTGCTTTTTCTACAACTAATTTAGGACTACAAAATGAGTCTGCTATGATTTCACCAAATAATTAGGGCACACAAACTTAAAAATTTGCAAATAGGTAAAAAAAAATCACAGAGGTGATTCCAACACCACATCAGACTCGTTGAGCTTTTTGATACTTTTTTTTAAAAATTTTTTTGGCTAGGTGAAGGGGTTAAGTGATTTGCCCAGGGTCACACAGCTAGTGTTATGTGTCTGAATTCAGATTTGGACTCAGGTCCTCTTGAATGCAGGGCTGGTGCTCTATCCACTTCACTACCTAGCTACTCCAAACAAATTGGTACTACTTTTAATTTTTTTGTCATTGAGCTTTTTTTGAGACTATACTTCAAGGCCCCCCCCCCAAGGCACTTTTTCAAATTTTCTAATTACAATCTACCTGGTCACTATCTTGAATCACATTTGGATTTGGCTTTCATGAGAGCATGTAACCCTTCCTTGGATTTTGGATTCTATTTAGCTTTTAAAGATCACATTTAAAGATGATTTTTTTTTGCCAACCTGTAAATGTTTTATTGAATATGACTGCTGATGTGTTCCTGTTGCTACTGGGATATACTTATTAAAAAGTAGCTTCCAGACTGTAACACCTTGGAGGTTCCTAATGCTCAGGAGATGGTTCAGCACGCATGGAAAACCCACCCATTAAAGAAACTCAAAAGCTTTGAAGAGTTGACACCAGTACACTCCTTTATTTCTGCATCCCAACAGCTGGGGAAAAGGGAAGACATTAAACCGGCATGTAAATAGTCACACTAGTACGCCAGCTGATGGCCATTTCAGGGGAAATGGGGAGAGGGAGTGGGGGAGGATGGTCAGCATTAAGCATACTGTGCTGCTGGAGATGCTAAGAGGCTGAATGGTCCCTGAACAAGTGCAGCACAAAATGAAATACAAGAAGATGAAGAAACCTAAGCCAGTTTCTTTCTTCAATGATACACAGATTTCTTGTTAAATAGAAAAAGAGTTTTGTCTGTTGAGGCAAATATTGTGCTTTTAAATTGAAGTTTCAGCTGCTTTCCATCTGACGTCTTAAAGCTACATAGAGCTTGAAGGATCCATTACATGTGTTTGCTGAAGTTGCTATTACTTGGGCAGGAGAAATGGTTTTCCACATAATCATTCATGGTATATGCTAAGGGTTCTTAAGCTGGTGTCCATGAACTTAAATTTTTTTTTTGTTAATTCAATATAATTGGTTTCCTTTGTAATATTATGTATCTTACACATTCAAAAACATTATTCTGAGGAATCTAAGACACAAAAAAGGTTAAGAACCCCTTGGTCTAGGCAATCTAATAAGCAACTAAAACGTACAAGTTGAACATTTTACACCTCTATTTTCCAAAAGATACAGTGAACACTTATTCTAACACTTAAATCCAGAAACTCCAAATGGTCCCATCAGAAGCAGCAGAATCTACGCTGGGCTTACTTAGCAAACAGTTTCTGTGTTTGACACCAGATGCCTCAGTGTATTCTAAATAATCAGCACTCTAGTCTGTCACCTGTTCCTTGAAATGCTTGGACTCTCCAAGTTCTTGTTCCTAGATCATTCAAGTTGGGTAGTATCACCCTTCTGCTGTTTGAGGTTCTCAGTTAAACATCCATTGCTGCCTCTCTGGGCAGCAGAACTAGTACAAGTTCCAGAACCACTGGGAATGGATCAGCAAAGACTGGATTCTTCCAAAGCCGAGACGTGGCTAAGGCAGCTTTAAGGGAAACGAATGTAAAAGAAGGGATAAAACATGTGGACTCAAGGAAGTTACAGCTCTCAATGTAATGTGCAAGGAATCTACTCTATTGTGAACACGCAGGCTACTTGAATACACTAGCACTTTCATTAATAAATAGCAACGCAGGCAACATTTTAATCCATGCAAAGCATACTTATTAAAAAGTTACTACTCAAGGGGGAAAAAAGAGCATCAAAAACATTTACACGGAGTACTTCTCACCTGTAAGAGGAAATTATTGCAGTTTTGTATTAAACAGAAAAAGTTTAATGATTCATTTCAGTGTGCTCAGTAGTCTCTTATATTTTAATAAACAAGAAAACACCCTATGTTTTTAGGAGTAGGTGCTGTCTGAAACACCACATTAAGCCATCTCTCTGTCTGGTTGTTATGCAGTCCGTGTGATGGAGGGAGCTTGACACAGCAGCATCTGGACTCAGTTAAGTGCATCAAGGGGCCAGCTGAATCCTTTGGCCCTTTGCTCCCTGGTCCTGAAGCCTTCGAGCAGGGAGGGATTCTCTTCCTCAACGGCCTGCTCAAGTCCTAGTGAGCTCTAGAAAAGGTGCGTTTTGTTGTCATCACTGCTGACCTCTCCTTTAATGCACTGCTCAGAGAACCCAAGGCAAGTGGTGACCATCTGGTAGAATAATCCAATGAAAACCCCAAACAAGGGAGACTGTTCCTTTTCCGGTCAATGGCGATTTCAGCAAAACTTTTGAAAAGCACCTTAAGCTTTTCCAAAAGCTGCTGCTTGTCTGAGAACCTTATTATTCATTTTCTGAATGGAATTCTGAAGAATAAGGTAGAACTCGCCTACATTACTGTCCCACTGCAGAGTTAGCAAAAGTCAGCTTGATAGAATCAGCTGTATTACTGTAAAACTTCACATAAATTACAAGTAATACTTTATCGAAGTTAATTGCTTCTATTCTACAATGTATTTCCAAAAGTAGGTATGCCATAACCATACCATAATACATTCATCACTGTGTTGGGGGGGGGAAATGAACACATTTTATATTAATGCTTTTGTAAGTAAACTGAGTTGCATATATAGCATTTTTTGTATTTAATATTTGAGCTTTCTGAGCTAGGTAAAGAGCTGCCCCGAATTGTCTAAAGGTGTATTAAATCACACACACTAGGATATCAGACTACGATGAAAACATCTGAACATAACCCTACCTCCCCCAACCACATTTTGTTAGTACACATGGAAAAGAAGACATGGGGATGTGTGTCTACCAGTAATACCACAACAGCGGTATGTCATAAATTCAGCAGGCATTTACAAAATAAAATTAAAAGGCTCCCTTGTGGAATTTATTCATTTATTCTTCTGTAAAAGCAAGGAATCAAAAGATCCCCAGCACCGGGGCCTCTGTTGCCCAGTGTGCATAAGGAGGTATAGGCACATAGTTTTCCTGCAGGATGAACATCTTTCACCAACTGCAAAATATTTTCCCTTATTAGAAAGGTTGGAACTCACACATCCCCACATGGGCAAGTCAAATCAAGATTGCTTACACGACAGCTGGGCAAATTTTAAGGAGTTTATTACTACAACTCATTTTTATTAAAAATTTTATGAAAAAGCAAATTCTATAAATAGTATAAAGAGAAAAACAATAAGGGCTCCATAAGTCTGAAGCAAATTGTCTCAAACATCTGTATACAAAGTGAAGATGCTCAGTAGTCTAGGTTAAAAAAAAATACGTAATAAACCAACCAAAATCTCCCTAACCCAAGATATTGACTGTTAATTAACAGGGGGCTGGGGAGGGTTTGGTCCAACACTTAGTGCCTTCGATGACAAAGTGTCCTCTACTCTGTTCTCTCAGCCCTATCATCTGCACCCTGCAAACATGGGAAAACTCTCCTGGGTCTGGTGAAGTTGGAGCTAGGCCTCCTCCTAGCCATTCTTCCTTGGAGAGCTCCTGGCACCGTGCTGCTAACAACGACATCACTGAACACATCAGCAACACAGCTGGAAGACCCAGTTCACTGGCACATGAGATCACTTGATTACAAGTCTTGGAGGGAAAGTGAACCATTTGTCACCATATTAATTTTCTCAGCTTTGGCAGGAAATTGTTGGAAGTAGGGGATATGAAATTTAACTGCAGGCTCGGGGTGGGGAGTGGAGGTTTACATTCAACTGCCTGGAAGCATAAAAAATGTAGCTCTTCCACGTCCTGGGATGGATTTGGAAATGCAGAATTACCCAAAATACGTCTTTTAGAAACAGAGAAAGAGGATCAAGAGGAAGGGGATTATAGTCTTTTCCCAAGCACACGTTGGAGGAATAGGCCTAAGTCTTCCAAGGGGTCCCTTGGCAGCCTGCACCATTCCTTGGCCTGTCAGCCCAGGCGAGCAGGTGTTGTCCAGGCTAAGGAAGAGTGGCTGGCTGCTAGTCCTACAAGTCCCATAAAGAGGAAATATCCCGTCCATAGGCATGCATAGTTAGTTATATTGGTTTCACCCCATCTCTTTAAAAAAAGGAGAAAAAAATAGGAATTTGCTTTCGCAGCTAATTTACTTGCACCTTGGTTTGAACACTTCATACGGCAGGAGAGTCCTCCGCCCAGTTACGGCCAGTCTCCCCTTCCCAGACACCCGGATCCAGAGGATTCAAACCGGAGGGGTCATGCACACAGACGATCACTCCGTTAGGGCCGAAGTCCCGGGGATGGAGAGACACGAACAAATGGGGCGGCAAACCAGTTACTGGGTGACTTTTCTATTCCGGGAAATGGGTCTTCGGGGGAGGGGGAGGAAGCACATTCATTATGGCTTTTGGATGGAAGCGCCGAGCTCCTCCCCCTTTCCCCTTCCCCGCCCCTGGGAAGCAGAGGATTGGGGGGGGTCCCAGGGGAGCCCCGCTCACGGCGTGACCTTGGGGCCCGGGTAGGGCTCGCCCTCGCACCAGAAATCGGCCGCCTGGGGCGTCTCGAGCAGCCACACCTCCCGGGGCACCGGCAGCGGCGCGGCCGGCCCGCAACCGAGGCCGGCGTCCGGGGGCCCGGCCGGCACGGCGAGCTCCAGCAGCCGGTAGTAGTGGCAGTCTCGGCCGTCGTCCGGGTCGTAGGGCGGGGCGAGGATGTCCAGGAAGGCGGCGGGCCCGTCCACGGCGTCGATCTGGTGCAGGTTGTCTCGGTGCGGACTGAGCAGGCACGGCGCGCTGGCCTCTGTGTACTCGGCGCGGGAGCGCAGCAGGGCCCGGCGCACCACGGCTCGCTGGCCGGGCCGCAGCGGGGGGTCGAAACGGGGCGGGGCGGCGGGGGCCTGCGGCGGCGGCAGCGGCTGCTGCTGCTGCTGCTGCGGGCCCTCCCCCGGTGCCCCCGGGCCCTCCCCCGGCAGCGGGTCCAGGCAGCTGATGCGCAGCGTGCCGTAGAGCACCTTGAGCACGCCGTGCATGCCCGGGTGGTCGTGCAGCGGGATGGACGTGCCGCTCTTGAGCAGGAACACGCCCAGGCTGAACTCGGCCGTCTCGCAGATGTGCATGTAGGTGACGGGCGGCAGGTGCGGCGGCCGCGCCGGCGGGGGCGAGGGCAGCGCGGCCCGCCGCGGGCTGATGTTCAGGTCCTCGGCGCGGAGTTGGCTCAGCAGCTGCTGCAGCTGCTGCAGGTTCTCGGGGAAGCCCGCCTCGGGCGCCCCGCCCCCGCCCCCGCCGCGGCGGAAGGTCAGCCGCGCCTGCCGGGCGATGCGCTGGATTAGCGTGGCCATGTTGTCCCGCGGCATGCCGCCGCCGGGGCCCGCCGGCCGCCCGAGCCGCCGCCGCCTCCGCCGCCGCAGCCTCCGCGCCGCAACGGCCTCAACGGCTCCCACACGAGCGCCGCCCCGCACGCGCGAGCGCACGCGCACCAGGGACCCCCGAGCCGCGGGAGAGGGGCGAGCCGGCACTGGGCGAAGGAGCGGGGTTGGGGGCGGGGGTCGGGGGGCGAGCGGGCCCTCCCTTTCACCTCGCTCCCGTTACTCCATTCATGCCGCCCCAGGGCCAGCGGACTCGGGCCGACCTCTAGACGCGTGTGTCTGCCCCGCGACTCCGCGGCGCCTGCTGGGACTTGTAGTCCTCCGCCCCCCCCCGCCCCTCCCAGAACGGGGACTTGGAGGAGAAGCCCCAGAGCGCTCAGTCCGCGAGCGGTCCAGGTCCTCGCCCGAGGAGGGGAGAGCGACTACAACTCCCAGTTCGCCCCGCGCGGCGCCGTCAGACACGCACTTCCGGCGGGCGGCTGGGTGAGACGGCGCGGGGGTGGCCGGGAAAAGAAAAAGGCCGGAGGGTGAGTGACCTCCCGATGCTGGTTGTGTCAACTGCCCTAGGGTCGCCTTCGCTCCGGGAACTTGTGGGAGGCTCTCTGGCCTGGGAGTGGGGGTGGGACAGAAAGGCCGGGGACCCCACACTCGTCTCACAGGTCACTGCTTTCTACGGAGGCCCTACTGACTGGACTATCCACCTACAAGTTTTTAAGTATACTTTATTTTAACAATCACCTTAAAAAATGTTGAGTTCCAAATTCTCTCCCAGCCCCTCCCCCACCCATCGAGGAGGCAAGCCACGCGACATCAATTGTGCTCGTCTTCGAGGATCTAGTAATCGCCTCCTGGATGCCAGTAGCCCTCAAGGAGCTTACATTCTAGTTTGGCGGTCAGTAGACTTTATTAAGCGCCTGTTGTGTGCCTGGCACAGCTCTAGGCGCTGGGAGTGCAGAGAACAAACTGTCTGGCCACGGGGAGCTGCCAGTCTGCCCCCAGGCAACGGTGTGCAGAGGCCAGTGCTCTCGGGGTGGGCTGGAGAGTCTGGTCCACCGGCATTTATTAGGCGCTTCCTGTATGCCGGGCACTGTGTGGAGAGCTTGGGAGGACGCCAGGGATTGTGAGGCCCCGGGCAGGTGGGTGGGGGTAGGGGGCTGAGCTCCTGGGCAGAGCCCCCCCCCTTTACAGGTGAGTGGCCGAGGCCCGGGGGGTGCGCCTGGCCTGTCCGAAGACACCAAAGGTGGTAGCAGAGCCGGTGGGTATGTTTGCACCCCAGGACATCGCACTCCCTAGCCCCTTGTCACTGATCTGGTCAGAATGCAGACTTAACCGGTGTGATCCTGGATAAACAACCTTCGCTTTTGGGGGCCTTAGAGTTTCTGGCCTGTAAAAGTAAGGCAGTTGAATTTGATAATCTCTATGAGGTTGTTCACTGCCCTCGGTTTTATAATCCAGAATCCCCAACCTGGGTCCCAGCAACTCTCTGCTTCCACCACCTGCCTCCCACCCAGCCCCCCAGATTTAGTCCTCCTGTGTCCTGGAGCTGGAAAGTTTCTAGGCGGCACAACGATGTTGAGACAGGACTTGAATTCCAGTCTTCTCATTCCCTTGCCTGCCCTCTTTCCACAAAACCCTGCTGCCTTGATTAGAGAATGGTAGATTTATGATACATCGTTGCACATTCACACCTAGGTTTCCTTGTGATCAGAGTCAAATAGGGGTAGGGTACACTGAAACAGAAATCCGAATTGCTCCCTACAGAGATCAGATCCACTACCTCCTTAGTACTGTGCCATGATCAAATGACTCAATCTGGCCTTCCATGAATATGGTTGCTTGGTTATTCATAGTCACATGAACTTTATTAACTGACTGCAACCCCAGCAACACTCCTCATTTCAGTCATTTAAAATAAAAGCATTTATTGAGTTTACAGAGCTCCATGCTAGTACCTTTGGGAGGGGCTGGGGTGGGGAAGGAGGGGGTTGGGAGTATAAAGATGAGTGGACATCCTTGCTTCAAAGAGTTTATCATCTAATAGAGCAGTTAAAACACACAAATAAGTAACATGGCATAGGGAGATAAGAGGAAGCCTAAGAGAGATATAAAGTTCTAAAATAATCCAGAGGAGAGAGGGCAAGATTATTTCTGCTAGGTGGGAGAAGATGGTATTGCTGGGCTTTAAAGGATGGGAAGAGTTGCTGTAGGTGGTGGAGGAAGGGATCTCAAAGTTTCCTTTCTACTATACATTAGTACAATGGTTTGAGAAGCTCAAATGTGTTTGAGTTCAGAAAAACCTGGGAGGATTTATATGAACTGATGCATACTGAACTGAGCAGAGCCAGGAGATCATTGTATACAGTAACAAATACTGTGGGATGATCAACTGTGAATGACTTAACTATTCTTAGCAATACAATAATCCAAGACAATTCTGAAGGAGTTATGAAAAATGCCATCGACCTCCAGACAAAGAACTGATGGAGTCTGAACGCAGATTGAAGCATACTCTTTCTGTACTTTCTTTTCATTTTTTTGGGTCTGTGTTCTCTTTTGCAACATGGCTGATATGGAAATGTTTTGCATGACTGCACGCTTACACTCTGTATCAAAGTGTTTGCCTTCTCAAGGGTGGGGCAGGGATGAAATTTGGAGCTCAAAAATTATTTTAAAAATATTTTTTAAATATGTAATTAAAAAATAAAAACATTCTAGAAAAATGTGTTTGAGAAGTGTTAAACAATCCTAGCGTAGAAGGTAAGATAGGCTGCAGGGGAACTGTGAGACTTCGATGTTAGGAAAGGCAAAAGGAGAAAGTGTTAAGGAGGAAGTATTCAGTGATGTATAGTGGAGCAGCCAGGTCCAGAAGAATGAGGATTAAGGAAGAGGTCACTGGAAAGCTTCAGTTAGAGTAATAGGGGTGGGAGGAGGTTCAGAGATCAAATTGTAAAGAGCCAGGAATGAGTAAGTGACTTGCGAAGGCACTGCCTTTTTTTTTTTTCCACAAGAACTGGAAGGATAGAGAGATGGACTGGTAACTTGAGAGGAGCAGCAGGATTTAGGGAAGCTTTCTTTGAGATTAATTGAGTAGGTGTGTCTTTTGAACACAGTAGAGTCCTCCCTGTCTTTGGGGAATGAATTCTAGAGGTCAAATCCTGTGAAAACAGATGTGCCTTTCCGTATGTAAACCAAACCTGAAAAATGCATATTTATAACCCAGGTCACTTGGAGGAAGTGCCCTACAAAGATCCTCTTTACAAAAGCGTTTGGGTGCCAGGTTCTTAATTCAGGGTCACTTCATTAAATCGGCATGTTGCTGAAAAGTTGCTAGCCAGGGGAGTGGTTTTAATAAATGCACAAGTACATTCAGTGAAGCCCTAAGATGACAAATCTCTTTACAAAATGAATATTCTTATAAAGAAAAAGAATAGCCTCTTCATCTGTTTTACCTGTTTGAAAAATTCACTGGGCAGACATATATGAAGTCTCCTTTGTGTAGCACACTGCTGCCCCGAGATGTGGAGAGAAGTAGCTGGAGAAATAAGTAGCAGTCTGCCCTCAGGCAGCTTCTCCTTTCATTGCCCTGGGGTCTCCTCAGCAGGCGTCCTCACAAAAAAAAAAAAAAAAAACAGCCTGCTTAAAGCCTACTTAGTCCAACTTGAGAATGGATTTTGACTACTTTCGTTTACTCCAACAAACATTTATTTCTGGTGCACCTTTCCTGAAGCCAAACCCTGCCTTTGGGGTATGAAGGAAATGAGAATTTGAGATACTTTTTCTCTTCCATTGACACTGCTTTCTTCTCTCTCCATGGTCATTCATGAGTATTTCTCGACTCTGTCAGGCCATGGAATGTGTGAAAGGGTTTCATAATAAAACAGAAGAAGCTACTGAATACTGGGGCTTGTTCTTCTCAGCACCTGCCCCGACATAACCGACCTCTGGGGAAACAGGAAGCCCCTTCACAGAACCTGGATCATGGTGGGGCTTCCTTTGCAGATGGAGTGGGCTGGTATTACTACCGATTTCCTCCTCACTCCAGCCTCCACCACGTTCAGCTGCTGCTGAGTAGGAGGGAACCCTAGGAATGTTCTGGGAAGGGAAGAAGAAGACATGGAAGGGATTACTAGAGTCAGGAAAACACATAGTGGGAAAACCACGGAGGGAAGAGATGAGAACAGACAGCTGTGCGCTATTCCCTCTGAAGTCTTTTATGCCTATAAACTATATTTATTCCCCCTCCATTTTCTGTTTCACAAGCTGACAGTTACATGGTGATAGGTAATACTGATAGAAATTAATGCCACCTTCCGCCCGCGTTGAAGGATTACATTGAGCAATGGGGGAAGCACATGAGAAAAGCTGAGATTTTCTTATAGTTGCTTAATTATCCAGGAACTGGGGAGGACTGGAATAGCCCCCAGCCTACATCTCTTTTCCCACCTCCACCTACTCTCTTATGTGCTCTTCATTCTTTACAAGATTATTGTCTAGCTTCTTTCCTCCATCTTTTTACCCTGGCCCCGCCTTTTCTTATTTCGGGCTAATTTTCCGATTTTCACCAGTCAAGCTGCTAACTCATTCAAATCCTTTCTTAAAATTCATTTGATCTAGCAAGCTCTACTGGGAACACCAAGTTCTCCATAAAGTGATTAGAAGTAGATTGATGTTTGTGAACTCTTACCAGTAAGTGATTTTTCCCCCCTTTTCAGTGAGAGAGAAGGTTCCAATTTTCTCACCTTTAGATTCCTTGGGAGTCCTCATGTGCCAAGGCCCAGTCAGCTTTGCTCTGGCTGACTTTTTTTTTTTTACAATGAAATGGAACATAGTTAGACGAGCAGAACCTTTTTTTTTTAAAGTACTAATTTATAATCAGTATTTATAATAATAAAATGTCATGGTTACAGAAATCCTTTTGCCTGACCAGTTCCAAGTTTTAGGTGTTTTGTATGATTATCATGGTAGACTATAAATTGAGTTTTTAGGAGCCGAAACAGACAGAGAAAAGGCCTGG